AAATGTAGTTGAAACCTTTAGATTCTTTATATATAGAATTATACCTGTTGAATCTTGTTTTTAGTGATAACATAAAGTAATTTTAAATTTTTTTAATTTACCAATTTATGAAAACACCAATAATATTTCAGTATATTATCTTAAGGAATTGTTAAGAGTACTTGTTGTCATATTTAACAGTATTTTAACTTTTTAGATTAATCAGATGTCTCCAACAAACACATTTATGATTAATCCCACATTTATTAAATCTAATTTACTTAATAATTAAGATCTCAAACATGTGCATTGAACAGCATTTCTTTCCTGTTGAAGAAAAATTTTAGAAACAATGGATATTAAACATTTTATAGACATTATAGACATTTTATTAGCAACTGACCACCTAGAGAAGCTTGTGAATTAGTAGCCTTAGATGCCATGACCAGCGCAGACAAACTAGCAGGTCTGGTGAAGAGTGATGGAAGATTGAAAGAAATAAAGTTCACACAGGCAGATCTAAAAGATAAAACATCTGGGATTGGGGGGAGCGCTGCTCTCTGATGGAGAAGCAGGTCTAAAGAATTACAACACCAATCTTTATTATATATTTCTCATTAATCAGATTAAAGACTACGCAAGAATTATTCTTGGTATTCATGAAAGTTAGAGAGTTAGCAACAGTATGCAGCTATTTTCTCAGTTATGTTCTACAGTTGCAATGTGCATTTTAGGAGCAATGTGCAGCTCTCAAGAAAGTCCCTTGTCTAACGTAACTAATTCATGGCAGATTCAGGAGCAACTGGTGAACCATTGTGGTTATCTTAGCAAGGAAGTTCCTCCATTCTCAGGAGCTGTGTGCCTGAGAATAAGTTCAAAGATGATAAGACTCTGGCAACAGAGTCTCCCCATGGAGAGCATTGCCATAGCAACTGGACATTCTACACCTTTGCATAGGAACATTCCCAGTCACCACGCTTGCCACAGCCATGAAGTAATCAGGGACCCCAATCTCAAACACTGGTCTCCCAGTCACTGTCACCAATATCCACACTTAAAAACATTTTTATATGTTTGCCCAATTTAAATTGAACTTTTGGAAATACATGAACCAAAAGCATTTGGATCCATCTTTAAATTTTAATTTATAAGTTCATATGTCAATTTTGGTACCAAACCTAAGTACACATGACAATATACAAAACAAAAACTGTTTTCTCATTCCTGAAAATGGGACAGGAAACATTGAAGAGGTGTACAGGACAAATGGGAGGTGGACTGACTTGGATTTGTAATAACCAGTCAAAGACAACAGAACATACAACAGGTAAGGAGCCAAAGACAGATTTAACCTACAGAAGATCAGACCAGAACCAGTGAGCTGGAGGGTGACACTCACCACAGCCCTGAACTCTGGAAATATCACTGCATCCAGCTATCCTGTGTCCCCTGATGTGGATCCACACAGACCAGACCTACCATCCTGAAGAAGAACAGGAAGTTCTCAGCAAAGCAATCTGTGGGTTGGCAGGAGCCAATGGAGACAGTACCTGGGGCTGAGGAATGCGTGTCAGGGGCCTTCCCTAGATTGTTTCCAGCTTGCTGTGCCTCCTAGGTGTTACTAAGTAATCTTCTGGCTGCAAGAAAATGGATCTCACTGTGACCTCCAAATGTTGTCAGCTGGTCGCTCAGAAAATATTCTCAGTCTGAATTTTGACCAAATTAGAGTTTTTTTATTTAGCCAGCCAGCAACTGATCCCCTTCAGGACCTGAATTATCTCTGCCAGGAACATCACCAGGTCCAAATTGTGTGGGGTTTATAAGGGGAAAAAAACAACATCCTTGAAAATGTAGGTGTAGGCAAGCAAGCAGGACACAAGGGCTGAGAAAGCAGTTTGCAGAGCAAAAACAGACAACCACATCCTGGGTTTGAGCATATTTGTGGGCATATGAAATACAAAAAAATGATTTTTACCATCTTAGAAACAGCTTAAGATTATTTATTTTATAATGTTCATCACATAATTCTATCATAATTCTATCATAATCCTACTTATTAATATGTTATGACATATAATTTATAATTTATAATAAATATAGATTAAGCTCAAATCATAACACAACAAAATCACACAAAGTAACCACACTCCTTGCATGCAGCTGCTTTGTGGAAAAGCAGTGCCCTTGGTCTCTATGAAAACTCCTCTTGCATCTCCCAACACCATTCCCCAAAGTGACCAGGATATGATGCAGTATATCACCTGTTTTGTACTGTACACCATAGAAACTGTTCTGTGAAGCCTTTTATATTTGATTTAGAAAATTCCATAAATTTTAAATAATTTTCTTCCACCTG